AGTGTGAGGAAGGATTACTGAACACTTTGATTCTGCCCTCCCCTTTATCCAGTTCTCTCCTTCCCTCCTCACCCCCTACAGCTGGCTCGAGAGCATGGAATCCGATTTTTTGAGACAAGTGCCAAATCCAGTATGAATGTGGATGAGGTGAGATCCGCCCTCTGAGAGATGGAAATACTAACAGATTTATCTTCTCCTCCAATTTGTTCTAACCAGTTTCCCCTTTAGGCTTTCAATTCCCTGGCCCGTGACATCTTGCTCAAGTCAGGAGGCCGGAGATCGGTGAGTTGGTTCTACTTGGCGAGTTGCCACTGTATGTGTCTGCAAGAACTGGAGTAAAGTGGTGATGCAGAGCCCGGAGCCGGGATCCCAGCACTGGGAGGTGGTGGCAAGAGGATCAGGAGTTCAATGTCCTACACTGTGTGTGTGGGAAGGTGGAAACAGAAATTTATCTACTGCCTGCCAGTTCCCAAATAACCATTCAGAGCTTTTATTAATTACAAATGTTCAGCAGATAGCTCAGGTTTATCATTAACTAGCTCTTACATTTAAATTAACCCATATCTATCTATCAATCAATGTATTCCTACATGGCTTGTGGCTTTATCTGTCCTCTAGCATCTTGCTCCCCCTGGGGCTGGCTGGCTTCTCCCTCTCATTCTGCTCTTCTTCCCCCACCATTTTCAGTTTGGCTTTCCCACCTAGACTTATTCTGTCTTGCTATAGACCAATAAGCTTTTTTATTAGCCAATTCACAGTGTACAGAAGGATTATTCCACAGGGGGTAGGGGATGGGGGGGTCAAGGAGGGGTGTTGACTACCTTTAATCCCATCACTCAGGAGGCAAAAGCAGGTGATCTTTGAGTTTGAGACCAACCCGGTCTACAGAGGGAGTTCTGAGACAGCTAGGACTACACAGAGAAACCCTGTCTCAAAAAAAAAAAAAAAAAAGAAGAAGAAGAAGCCAGAGGAACTATGCCAACATTTCTCATGGGGGGGGGGGTTGTCTTGAGTTTATAGGCTCATACTCCAGCCAACCCTTCACATACGTACTCTATCCTTCTACCTTCCTGTCTCTAGGGGAACCACAGCAAACCCTCCAGCACTGACCTGAAGCCATCTGACAAGAAGAACACCAACAAGTGCTCCCTGGGCTGAAGGACATTCCTTGTGGCCTCCTCACCCTGAACCTGGAGGCTAGACCTGAGGGAGTTGGGCTGAGGATTACACTGGGGAGAAACTGGTGGGAACTAGAGGGGTAGATGAACTGCTGATAAGGAGAATGAGGGGAAGGACAGGAAGGAGGAGCAGGGAAAAGGAAGGGGAAGGAATCAAGGGTGTGAACGTTGAAAGGGGTTTGAGAAGGTGAAAGGCAGAATAGTGGTGTCAGGTCAGGAACGACCTTGGGTTTGAGGTCAGACATTATGGACATAGGCTGATTGCTCCGTCTGGTTCAGGTTAGGGTATGGAGAGGCTGGCTCCACACTACCCTGAAGATTGCTCACTACATGGTCTTTGTTAGTATTAAAGGCCACTCTTTTGCATGAATGTTCCATGTGCATTACTTTTATTACTGTCAGACTGCTCTCAACTCAAATCTAATTTGTCTCTCCAAGATGCTCCCTCACCTGAATCTGGCTGTGTTCTCTGTCCTTGATTAAAAACAGCAAGGAGAAGCTTGGCAGCTTTAATCCCAGCATGGGCTGGGGTGGGGTGGGGGGTGGTAGCTGGATCTCTGTGAGTTCAAGGCCAACCTGTTCTACAAAGTGAGTTCCAGGACAGCTGGGGTTACATAGAGAGACCCTATCTTGAAAACAAAACAAAACAAAAAGTAACCTGGCCAGTCACTTTCTTTTTTTGAAAAGGGTGTGCCACAACCCAAACTGAAGGTTCACTCAGTTTTTGTTCTAATGCAAGTGGCATTAGACCTACTCTGCCTCACCCCACTGGTGGGAGCTCAGCTTCATATTTTTGAGACTGGCTATTTTTTAAAAATTCCTCAAAAAGGAAATGAGAGAAAGTGGGAAGGAGTTAGCTGCTATTGCAGGCCATCAAATACTGAAAATGTAGCAAGGCTTTTTGTTTTGTTTTGTTTTGTTTTGTTTCGTTTTTCAAGACAGAATTTCTCTGTGAAACAGTCCTAGCTGCCCTGAAACTCTCTCTATAGACCAGGCTGGTCTTGAACTCACAGAGGTTCATCTGCCTCTATCTCCCTAGTGCTGGGATAAAGGTGTGAGTCACCACTGCCTGGCCACAGGAAGCTTTTTGTAAACCAATTTTACTAGGTGAGTAAAGAGATTTGGATTCCTTTGCTATAGTAGCTTTATAAAGTGAGGGAGATTTATGAAATATTAGCCATTCATGGGATAACCATCTTTTTATAGACAAAAAACAACTTTTCTCACAATTTGGAGGAAGAGACACAGGAGAGATTCTCTTATTTACAAGTGTTTTCTGAGCATCTGCCCTGGGACAGACAATAATCCCTAAACAGCTTTTTGGTGACAGGTGTAAGCAGAGGAATAGACAAAATTTGAGAAGAAAAACAGTCTTTGGGTTTTGTTTTTAAGATTTTGTTTTGTTTTGTTTTTTGCCCGGCATGGTAGTCTCTGCCTTTAATCCCAACAGAGTTCCAGGCCATCCAGGACTACAATAGTGATGTAAGACCCTCAGAAAGCTGAGGCTTCCAGAATCTTAGCCCAGGACGGCGGCCACCCCAAACACAGAATGGAGGCGAAAGCTTGATGCAAACTGCATGAGGCTTTATTGTAATTTAACGAGCTAACCCCATGTTAGCTCGG